ACATCCCACACAGGATGTGAGGCACTCTGCAGAGGTGCCTGCTGTTGTAAGAGATTACAGCAAGATCCTGGAGAGATTAGGCTCCAAGTTTGGTGTTCCGGATACATACAGTTCAAATGGGTCAAATCTGGGTTTGGAACTTTCCTCAAAGGTTTTACACTTGCTTCTGTGTTTTTGGACCCTATGTTTTCCTACATGTATTTTCTTTCATAAAAGCACTTAAAATGATGTTGGGAGTCTAAAGATGTGTGGTTTAAATGTGGTTTAAATTACTGTGGTTCAGCTAACATGTCTTTACTCTTAGCCTATTGCAACGTTTCAAGTAAAATTTGACCACAATCTTTTTTTGGAAAATAGCACTCACTTTTTTTGAAGATTAGAGTCTTCATGATATTTTCCAGAATAAATTTGCACTTCAGTTTCGCACACATTGTGTGTAGCATTTCTGAGGCAACTTTGCTAACATTTTCTATCCCATGGATAAAATTTTGGTGGCTGCATATTAAGACCCTTTCATTTCATGTCACACCATATTTCTACAGGTCACATGACTACATAGTCACTATGAGTTACTATATGATTCTCCTTTATTTCCACTGGTGAGGCTCGAGCTTAATCTTTCACTTGTCTCTGCTGTATGACCTTGCAGTATGCTCTTCTAGTTTTAATTCATTTTGGTTATTTCAATCTTTTGGGTTGCCAGTCCAGTACTTCTGTATTATTTTCTATCTTTAGATTTATTCTGAAGCCTTTGAGTTCTCTATAACTGGCAAATATGTTTAGTATATTCTGAATTTTTATACTGTCATCATTCAATTATGACTGGTCAAAAGAATGTCCTTGGAAATATCACTAGTAATCTTTTTACATCTACTAATATCCTTTTTAGACATAATGTTGTTTACTTCTCTTAAAACAGGTTGAGATTGTTTTACATTTCTAGTGTAATCCTGAATAATTTATCTTTCCTAACCAGCACTGTATCCATGCTTATATCCGTATTATCTACGTTTCTTGAATTGCCTTTCCTAAAATATTAATTGTCTTAATAAAGAGAAATGCCTGGCTAATTTGACATAATCATAATCTATTTTTTGGATAAAGTAATATTCATTTTACTCCTTTTTGTTTGTTTGTTACCTTAGCATATCCTGTTGTACTCTCCTTCACAATTTGTTGCAAATCCTTCCATAGCTTTTGGGGTCAGACCTGCTTCTTTTTAGTCGCCTGGACCATGTAAATCTATTTTCTCAAAAAAATAAAAAAAAGATATTCTGTTTTCTGTTTTCCCAACATTCAATTGCCAGCCTGAGAGATTCATTAGAATTCTTTGCTATTAGACCAGGTTTTCTGGGAGGGAGTTGGTTTTTTGTTTTTTTGTTTGTTTGTTTGTTTTTGTTTTATGTGAAAATATTTTAAGTATTCTGGGGTGGGGATTATAGGGGCCTGTTCTCCTGGTCTAGATGCCTCCTAGAAAACAGTTTCATTTCTTTGTTTTGTTCTCATCTTAGATGAGTAATTTTCATTTCCATAGTCTCTATCATTAGCCACACTGCATTTGCTATTGTAGCTGGCATCCCCATATTAATTTTGCTTTGGACTATCTGTAATTTATCTTTAATCTTAACACCTCTTTGCTGCTCAGTGAAGACACTGCTTTTCATGTTTTCTTTTTATTTGGATGGTGAAAGTACGTTTCAGGACTTGCAATTTTTGCAAGATCTATCCCCGCTGAACATTTTCTGTTCTCACTTTCTGCATGTATTTCCTGACATCTGACAGCTTTCTTTACATATTAGTCTCATTTTCCACCCTACAAGCTCTTTGCATATATACTTTGTGTATATTTCCAGACACACTCTCTGAGGTGATTGCTCAGCTAGTTAGAAAAGGAGCCGTTATTATAAAAGCTTTTCTCCATATTTGAAGCTGCAGATTTCTCATAGCCTATTGCTACAGCCCTTTTATTAAAGGAATTCAAATCCTTTCTTGAGTTTTCACTTCACTATTTCCTTTATTTTCTACATTATTTATTGAAAAAAAAAGATTTATTTATATTTAGCTATTTATTTATAGTATGGCCATTAAAAAAAAATGGAACCGATGTATCATCACTCTGAGACATGTTTTTCTTGACCAATCATTTAATAAGATCCTATAGCTCAGTTTTCTGTCATGTCCTCAGATACCCACATTTATATTCTGGGAAGTTAAAATATTGCATGGCAGCTTTTATTTACTTCTGATTTAGTATTTAGTAAATAAACTATATTTACTTCCGCACTATGCGGTTCTGATTTAGTATTTTGTAATATTATTTTCTTTCTAAATAATATAAAGATTTATAACCAACACAGGGGAACATAGATAGTCCTTTCAGAAAGGGATCTGAACTCAGCTTGCCCTTTCTAAATCTCTTACAGCCTACCACATACTTAATTTAACATTGATCACATCATTGTTTTTGCCCTTGGAAATAACCATGTAGTTGGCGCATGTGGACATGCAAAATAAGCAAGAAGATGACTTTTGTATTCACTGATTTATAGATCTATCTATCCATATATATATATCAAGATTATATATATACACGTTAAGGAAGATGTAGGAAGTTACAGAAGTTACATGTAGTTTTATGTCTTTCTACACTTTAATATAATCCTCTCATCTACATTTTTTAATTTCCTGTGCTAGGAAATTAAAAGGATGAAAAGGGGCAAAATGCTGCCCTTACTTAACAATTTTAAAAAAATATTCTGATTAGCAAAATTAGGATATTTTGAGGGAGGGATTCAGGTGCAAGTCATAACTATAATCTTACCAATGTGGGTTACTTTAATTATTTGTTGTTGGTTTTGGCTGCATGTAGGAAATATGTAGGAAATAATGAAATATTTCTCCCAGTTTATTTTTATTAATTTCAGTTTTATGTATTTTCTTGTTAAATAGAGGCTAAAACTGGCCTGCATGACTACCCATATGGAAGCCTTTTTCTAATCTTCTTGAAGAAGCCTGTGTTAATTTTAAGCAAAATTACTGCTTTCTTTGTGGGCCAAAAGACTTAGAGCATTTCTGAGTGAAGTATCTTGGTGCTGCTGGACCACCCAAACTAACCAGCAGTGGCTTCTGAATTGCTCTGTCATTTAGGCCTTGGAACAAGAAAAGCAGTCCTCCTTTTAGTAAAGCATCTTTTCTTCATCAGCAGACATTAAATTTTTAAATTGGAAGAGTGCCTAGCAACAAAAAGACCAAATTATTCTGTTAAGCATTACTTTGAAAGAAGGAAAATACAGGCAAATGGTGATGCTTTTTCTTTAGTTTTTTTAAAACACCATAGGACTTACCTTCATTTTCCATAGTGGCTTCCCACTGACTCTAAGTGAACTTTTTTAAAACACCATAGGACTTACTTACCTTCATTTTCCTTAGTGGCTTCCCACTGACTCTAAGTGAAAGAGAATACTCTCAAGAGCAGCTTTTTTAAGTATTTATGTAGTATGGAGTATTTTATGTCCCAGTCCTTTCTTTTTCTCCTTTACAACTGGACAGTAATTCAACATTTTTAAGAAGTTGGCAGTTGTTATTTTAAAATAAGAACTAATGCAAAATTCTCTTGTGTTTCTGAAATATGTTTGTTGAAATATCAAATTTTATCTTGTCTTAGGAAGAAAAAAGACAAGATATTTTGTCTTCCTTCTGCCTAGGAAGGGAAACAGAATTTTGATAATCAACAAAAAGATACTTCTTTTTCTCTTTAAAACATTTTATTTACACTTTAGAATTTCTTATTAGTGGTAGCAGACTGATTCTAGCTGCTGGCAATAGATGAACTTACTTAAAATAGAATGTGTTAAAATTTTATTTCTGAGATGCAGATATTGGAAAAGAATATCTTCTATCAATTGGGTATACATTCCAATGGTATTTATTTTAAAATTGAATATTGCAGATTTAAAAATTTACCAATTTGTGAACACCTAAAATTGTAAAGGACTTCTAAAAAATTAAGTGGTAGCAATTTACACCTACAATTAAATATGGAACATGCTGCTTCATGCGCAACATAAATAGCACATATTTGATTTGTCGAAATATTTCAACATTTATAAAGAAAATTAGATAATTTTTAAAAACCTTAATTTTTTGACTCTATTAAAATCGATATGCCATTAGACATATGGCAATTTTTAAGCAATGCATTGATCAATTGACACAAGCTTAGCATGCCATCTCCTAATAGATGGAGCAATTGGATTGATTATTTCAGATACTTTATCACAATTCACCTAGCAAATGGTAATAAGTAAACATAGTCCTATTGGGATTAAAATAGGTGACATTGTAAGTATTGTGTCAATATTTAAAGACAAAATTTAGTTTTGCAGCAGCAGCCAAGTCTAGGGAGTCAAGAGAGCGTTGGAAGAACTGATAACTAGAGGAGGCTGCAGGAAGGTTTGGTGCCCTTATATAGGGGTGGGAGCTACACCCTTTTTTAGAGTTTGTGACACCGGAGCTTGTTCATGGGTCCTCAGCACACTATAGCTAGCTGCTCTTTGCCCATAGTTTGCCAAAAATGTGAAAGGAATCTCTCAAATTATACTTTTATTGTGTTACTAATAGTTAATGGTAGGAGAATACTAGAATGGGAAAGAGGTGAAGGTAATAAAAAACTCTATTCATACAGGATATTTTAGCTTTATATTACTTTTAAAAATAGACATGTGTATGCAGACCTATTAAAATGACATGCATTAGATTTCAAAGTCGTGGAGATTTCAGTTGTGTTGTTATATTTAAGACTTATCGTGCCTATTCATGGCTCTGTACAATGAACATGAATGATTTCAAGTGAATCTGCTAATGATCCTCATCCTCATTTAAAAATATAATAGATGTAATCTATTTTTAAAACTGGACTAGAAAATGTAACTTTCTGAATGGAAAAAAAAAAGAAAGAAAAAAAAAAAAGGACTTGACATACTGTTTCCCTCCATTGCTAGGCCATGGGAAGTGTGACTGTGGGAAGTGCAAATGTGATGATGGCTGGTATGGTGAAGCTTGTCAGTACCCAACTACTTGCAATCTTACTCGTAAGAAAAGCAATGAAATGTGCAAGAATTCTCAAGACATCATCTGTTCTGGTGCAGGTAAGATGTATTTTGTTGGTTTTGAGAGCTTAAAAAGTTCTTGTGTTATCTTGAGCATCATTCCTATTTTTTGCAATTAAAGAGTTTTGCAGAGCGTATTTTAAGAGAATGAGAAATAAGTGCACATACTTTAAAATGCTAAATTTTCCTAAAGGTGTATTCCTATTCATGTTGTGTGCAATGATTCATAATGCCTACTTTAGTCCTCTGGTTTATCCATAGCTATTTCAGGTTGAAGAAACTACAGCTGTGACATGTTGCCTGTTGAAAGGCTGTGCTAATGGCATTAATACCAAATAAGATTTAGATTTTTTTTTTTTGTGGTGTGTTGATAGAATAGAAAGGTGACACTTGAAACTACTTTTCCAGGACATTTATAAACTGTACAATTTTTCAAGACATCTATGAGCTGTAACAATGATTATTGAAATTCACAATTGTGGTAGATTTGCACTGGGGCACTTCATATTTCTATTTTGGTAACTGTCTCTTCTTGCATGGTTTAGTTTTAGAACCCATCGCAACTGAAGTAGGAATTCCTTTCCTTATCAAAATCAGAGGAAAAAGAGAACCTTTTAGAAGACTTGGCTGCACAACCTTATAATTTCAAAGGTTGATTGCTACAAATCAAGTTTCAGAGAAGAATTTTTCTCCTAGTTTTTCCAGCAATGACATTGATCTACCAGTGAGAGAATTTTTAATTAACCCCACCTATACTTGCTGTTGCTGGTCTTGCAGGAAAGAGAAACTAGGTTCTCACAGTAAGAGATGAAAGCTTTTTATTTATTTACTTAAAAATATGAAATCAACTTAAAATTCTAAATATACAATACACTGAGTAAATGATATATCTAATTTATGGCAATAATACAGATTATGTATAACTCATGATTTTTCGGCTAACAAATGAGAGAACTCTAGATGACAAACTGATTCTCAGAAATAAACACAGTTGTCTGTGATCACTCAAAGTATTTAAACAAGAATGTTTGACCTTTTTTTTCTGTTTACTGCTGAGACTGAGTCTTCACAGAAAAAAAGAACTAGCTGAGCAACCATTAAAAGTGGTTAAGGGGTTAATGTCTTGTGGGATCAGGACAAGAGAGTATTTTTTTGGTTTTGCTGGTATTAGACAAGAAAGGAATTATAATCACACTTGTTAGGGAGTTCTGGGTAACTGGAGTTCAAGCTGTAACCACATTTTGTTGACAAGCTGTCCTACTGGGATTGTCTTGTGAGATACTGCATTCGTTGCTTTTGAGCTCTGAGCTCTCTCTTTTAATTGACAATAAAAGGCATGAAGGGATGACATGAGTTGTTGTCACATCTTACTGCAATTCCTTTCATGATCTTAGCAAGATCCATTTTAAAATTAACTTTTATGACCCAACTATGACCCAATCAGATGTCAAAACAATTAGGGCAGGACTCGTCCTTCCCAAACCTGGATTATCTATGTGAGTAGTGCCCATTTTTAGTCAATGGGGAGAAATAGGCACCTTTAGGACAGCACAGTTGGTGTGCCTGTGTAGATGTTCGATTTTTGAAACATTTTATAATTTTATCTTTTTCTTGTTTGTGACTTATCTGTAGTCAGGTCAGTTTTCTTAAAATTCCTATTTCTTTTTCCAAGTCACTGCAGTTCTTTTACTGTTATATTAGAAGTATATTATTACTTCTATTGTAATTTTATTATTTTAGCTCTTGTCAGCATTTTTAGAGTTAATTTTTCCAAACTGATCATGTAGGCCACAGAGCCCTGTTCTCCTGTACTTTGTTTGAATAAACATTATGGTTAGCAAAATTGTATTATGTGTACTTATAGTACTGAAATTTAAAACGGTTTCTGCAAACTAGTTAGGTAATGTTAGCATGAAATTTCTCTGATGGAGTGTTGACACGGGGGTCTCGGACACCACGGACCCGATCAATGTGATCAAGCAGTGCCAGTTTATTCAGGGTTCCAATCGCGCTTATATGCAAGGCTTCCCCGAACACGCGAGCGTTTCCTTACAAGGATTGGTTAAGACCCTGCGTCCACGTGTCTGACTATACAGTGTGATAGGCTAACTAGCAGTGTCCACGCGTCCGTACATTTAACGACCGTCCCCCTCTACTTGTTTGTCTCAGCTCTTTTACTCCTTCTCTGACCCTCGGCCTAATTCCTTATCCCTTAGTCCGCAGTCCTTCTGCCCTTTCACCTAGATCCGGCTTGCTCACAACATGACCACTGGCCTTCAGAAATCCCGCAATGGAGGGCCTTTTTTCAGTAACTTTGTTTGCTGGGTATGTTTATGTAATGAGTATGTATATGTAACAAGGAATATGACCCTTCTGAATGAAGTTCCTGTATATTTTTTTATAATCATTTATATTTTTGTTCAGTGACAGCTGAAACAGCTTCTACATATCCATTGACAACAGAACCCCAGATAAAACACAAAGTCCAATTTCAATAAAGGTGGTAAAGATAGGGAAAGGGGATATTCTGTACAATTAGAATGATAGTATCTTTTCTGATGCCATTTTATGGTATTTTTGTTATTTTGTGAAAATATAGCTCCTTTTATAAGTGCTTACTCACAGCTATTTTATATTATCATGCATTATGTTCCTCTGAAATACAATATTTTTGGCTAGCAGAGAAGACATCTTCGGCTTTGTCCTGCCAGCCACATTTCAGGTCAGGAGGAATCCCTGAGAGAAAAGGGAGGAATTGCAGTTTTCCTCGGGAGCAAGAAAAAAAATAGTTTTTGTTTTGGAGGGTGGGTTGTGGAGAGGCAGTAGCTGCACTGGGGCAGCAGTACGCTCATGGAAAGGCTAGGAAGTAAATGTGTGATCTGGAGCAGAGGTGACAGAAGAGATTTTTGCTTACAATCCCTTTCTATTCTTTTTTTTTTTTTTTTCCAAGAGCTTAGGAGTTACTTATGTTAGAAAGTTTTCTGTTTTGCTTTATGCTGTGAGAAAATCCAGCTCTAGGGATCCTAAGCATTTTGGAGTCGCATGAGGGTGCTACACCAAGAGAGAGCTGCAGGCAGGCCCGTGTGAAACCACTTGCTTGTCTCATGTGGGACAAACATTTTGCTGTCTAAATGCTTTCAATCTGTAAGCTGTTTGTGCTGCTGTAGTGATGAGTCTTCATATGTCTTGTGATATCTCTACCTTCCAGCAAGAACTTCTGAGACATGACCCACAAAAGCCCTAAAAGCATACAGTTAATTTAGGTTTGAGTCCTGAAGTAATAAGATATTATTGTGGATGTCCTTTTAATTCTTCAGAGAGAGAGCAGTCCAGAGTCCAGACATCAGTATATCTGGAAACAAACTAACTAACTAACTAACTAACAGTTTGTAAACAGCAAGTGGTTAGTGAAAACTAGATGAAAATATAAGCAAAGAATACTATGAGGACTTCAGCAAATATCAGAGAATTGGCTGTTTAATCCTGGCTTTTAACATGCACTTGGCAGTAAAACTCTACATTGTGTGTTTATGTTGATATGCTATTATATTACTTTTATTTTTTTAATAATGATACGGATGGCTTTCACTGCAGTGAGCCTGCCTGGCATCCAATTAAATATACTGCTCTGATAATTGCTTTCTAGGTGGAGTAATTTTTTCCTAATGTTTGATCATAAGTTCTTCGTGCAGATATTCCTCCCCAACATTTCCTTCATTTGATTCCTGAATTTTTCGATAAGCCTATTTTTTAAAAATCTTATTCCTCATATGGTAGTTGTGGAAAAAGAGCTGGAGACTAGAGTGTAAGGGAACTTTGTGACTTCACCCAACTGTGTTCTAAGTACCTCAGTAGCCATACCAGGTTCACCTCATGTAATGTGGCTGTGGAGCTGAACAAAACTGGACTTCATTCTTGGGAAGATGTCGAAGTTCAATTTTCTCCTTTCAGTGGACTGCAGATATAATTTCCAAAGCTGACTCTGCCTCAAGGGTATGAAATCAGACAGACAACTCTAGGAGCGAATTCCACCTAGGAAAATATGATATTGCCTGTTATGCGTGAGACACTTTAATGTTGTAATTACTTATAGATGAGATTAGATTTTTATTGGTATTTTCTTGTCTTTATATTTCTGGATTATCTTTAGATTTCAGTCTATTCAGAAGTGAAATGTATACCATTCTGATGGACCAAAGAAACTCTTTCATTAAATTGTAGTCACTGGGTATAATCTTAAATGTTTACAGGCACATGTCAGTGTGGCAGGTGTAAATGTGGGAACTCAGAAGGGACTGGAATGGTCTATGGGAAGTTTTGTGAATGCGATGACAGAGAATGCATAGACGATGAAACAGAAGAGATTTGCACAGGTATGTATTTTAGTAGCACATAAGAAAAAGAATGGTGAAACGAAGATGAATATGGTGAAACAAAGATGAATATGGTGTGTTATAAAACCATTTTACTGTCTGGACATATAAAATGTCTTTACTGCATATATGAATTAAAAGAAAAAAAATACAATTGTATTTGCAAGGGATGTGAAGATGAGCTAGACAAAAAGCTAAAGAATGAAGAAATCCTGTAGTATCGTCCTCTTCTTGGAAGAAGGGTAAAGAAGATGGCATGAATTTCCTTAGTGTGACTGTCTTTGATGGAAAAAGAACACGAAAGTTTAAGGCCACAGATGAGAGCAGGATTAAGAGGGAGAGGAAAAAAAATAAATCAAAATAGCTTATTAATAATTTGTGGAAAGGAAGCAAAAATAATGAACAATAGATGGAAGATAAGAACTCAGAAACATTTCTGTGGACAAAAAGGGGTAAGAAAAAGAATGAATAAAAATTAATCTGTAATTGGAAAGAAAAAGAAGATGTGAACTCTAGATATAAAAGCAGTTCAAGTTTAAGTTCTGCTTTTATTTCCTTATAAAATAGGAGTTTGACAATTAAATGCTGTGTAATACATGTCATTTGTAACATTTTAAATGTTGTTGCCTATATTTCTAGGGAGCTGGAAGGTGCTGAAAATATATTTCAAGCTGTACATATGCATCCTGTATGTGTGTACATACAGTTGGATTCAGAACTGGTCTTGCAATATTTATATACTCATATAGGTATTGGGAGTAATTGTATGATATAGTTTTATTTGTCTTTTTCCATACACAGAGAGCAAAAGAAATTCTATTTATTTAAGTCCGTTTGAAGAGAAAAAAGAGAAAAATAGCTTAATTTGCATGAGAGATTTTAAATGAGGATAACAGAATTGTTCTTGGAAGTCTCAATCCAGATGTAGATGCCAATATGTTAACTACCTAAAATGAAAAGAGTAGAGCGCATTACTTTTATATATCAGTGATCCTGTTTGTCTTTATTTGGAAACCATTCCATATGGTACCAAACAAGATAAAAATCAGCTTTTATTTAATTCTAGCAAGTTATTTTGCGCTATTTTTATCAGTTTTTTTCCTACTTACTGCTTCTGATAAAAGTTTTTCCTAGCTTTTTGTTTCTCCTTATTTCATTAACTGATACCATATTTCAGACTAGTTGCATCTCTGTAATAAATTAGTTTTATATATTTATGGAAATCAAGGCATACTAGTATAAAAGGACAAATCAGTTGGTATATACAAGTCTCTAGTGCTTATGATTCATCAACATGAAAAGCTTTGGTATCTTAGGTTTAGAGCTGTCTAAAGCAAATGTTCTAAAAGATTATGCATTGGTTTACTTGTCTGGATTAGGTTGTTGTAAACTGAAAAGTGTATGCATGTGAATATTAGATCTTTCTAATCTCTGCAGTGCATACCCACATGTTGAACCAGACCTTGGGAAGGAAAAATGGGCAGAATATGAACAAAAGGTCAAAGTTATCTAATTTTGCAGCAGAAATAAAAGCAAATCTCAGTTCCCTGATTACAGTTTCTGTCTTCCATCCTGGTGCCTCCTCGATATGTTCTGCCCCTTCCTCTCTTCCATGTTATTTCTAAGATATTAATCATGTAGGTTTATTTAAGAAGGAAGGAAGGGTGTTCTGACAGACAGGTCCTGCATATCTAGCAATGCCTCCTGGATGCACTCCACAAGAAGTGAACCCTAATCAGTCCTGTCGTACTTCTCATTTGTGTAGCAACTACTTACTTGTTGCAAACTCTTTATTTCCCCTAAAAATTTCCTGCTATAGTTCAAGCCCTAGAGATTTTAATTGCCGTCAGAAAAAAAAGCAGACTGTGGAGGTTCAAGATAATAATAAAAAAAGAAATCTTCTAATTACACATGTGTTTTTATAGCACCTTGGAAAAAGTAGCATGTAGTATCATGATGAGATGTGCGTGTAGGCAGAAGGTACCTCTTCTGGAATTAAAAGGAGATTTGAAAATACATAGTTCTTTTTAGACAGTGGAAGTATGTGTCCCATCTCAATATCCAGAGTTTTGTTGAAATTTTAGCTATTACACATACTGTCTTCCAAATTTACCTATAAAGGTTCAAGTATTAAGCTTAGAAATATAAAAATAGTAATGTAATTTTCTTAGTGGTTGTTTACTGTAGAACCATGGTTAAATGAAAGTATTATGTAGAGTCGATTTTTCAAATATCCTTTGTCATATTTTATGTAGAAATGCAGGCTATAAATTGCTTCTATTCTGAGCCTAGCTAACATTAAAAGTTTTCAGAAGAAAAAAAATATGATCAAAATGGTTAAATTGTTAATGCTTTTAAAAAACTTGCCTCTCACTGTATGAAATTTGTTTTGGGTTAAGGCCATGGAAAGTGTTACTGTGGAAACTGTTACTGTGAGGCTGGTTGGCATGGAGATAAATGTGAATTCCAGTGCGACATCACCCCTTGGGAGATCAAGAAAAGATGCACATCTCCAGATGGCAAAATCTGCAGCAACAGAGGTGTGTCATTCACACATTTCTTCTGCACATATTTATATATTTTGGTTTTATTCTACAATATGTGTTTTGTACACTGGGACATATATCACAAGTTTGCTAATAGTTTTGGGGTTATTCTTATTTGTTTCAAATCTGGGTATATGTTTCTAAACGAATGAGTGGATACTGGTGTTTAGGTATAAACTTACACATATCTGTATCCAGTTTTAGATGGCACTGACCCAAGAGTAGGAAGCTGCCCTCATCACTCATTTTTGTAGTAAGACTGAGCAGGATAATATATCAGTACATCTTCTGTGATGAGAGCTCTGTCCTGAAAAATTAATTATTAACATATTCTTGACTTTGAATGAATGGATTTTGTAAAGCCAAAGTGAGGGTATGTGGATTTACTCTTAAATATGACTGAGGACCGACAACAGAATAGGGAAAATGAAAACACAAAGCTAGTTTCTTCCACTGTGACTTGAATGAATACCCAAGTGTTCAGTAGTAGTGTTGTGGCATATATATGGAGCTGGACAGATATACTTAACACAATGTGTGGGTTTTTCTTTTTTTTTGCTACAGAACGTGAATTGCACACACTATTTCTGTTTAATTTTGCAAATTTGTTAAAAAAGAATTGTATAAATTAAGATTGGTGTTCACCTGTTCACCAGCTGCCATGTCTGGCATCAATGAACAAAGAGTTAAATGAGTTGTTGTTTGCTTTTTGTTTGTTTGTTTTGGGTTTTTTTTGGCATTAGTCTAGAATTAATGCAATAGGATATAAGTGCAAGTCACATAGATACCTCTCTGAAAAAACTTCTCTACTGACAAAACCTGCTGTAATGTGAACATATAATTATCTTGAGAGCATTTAGAAAACTTTCTTGTCTTAGTTATGGGGAAAACGAAAGATTGGCTCAAATATTCAGATCATGTAAGCTCATTTAGTCTTGGAGGTTTACCGGTAAAGAAGTTCATGTAATTCTGGAAATAATAAATAATAAATATAGAACTGTGCCAGAACAGTTTTGTTTGCCAAACATGTTTTGTTTCCACTGAGAAAGTACATTCTTGTCAAAGAGATTTTGAAAAGTTAATGATTAATGATTAATGTCTTTAAATTCACTTAAATTCATTTAAATGATTGGGGAAAAAAGGATGAATAGCGTAAATGATACTCTGAATATCTACAAGTTCCTATACAAATATATATTCATGGGATACTACTTAAGTATATTTGCATTTTTATATATTCATGATTTTATTCAAATAAATTTTTGTTAGTCTTTCAACTACATAAAGTTGTTTACAAACAAAATGTTTCTAATCTCATTTCTTTTATTTCCCACGTTTGTATGTACAGGAGGAGATCATTTCGTCATTTCTAGCCTTCAAGAAGTTAAATATCTAGGGTAAACTCTCTATCTAGCCTCCCTTAATAGCAAGATGGATGAGTTATCTGTATCCAGCAACTGTCTAGTCATTTGCTAAGGCTACATATGATCCTTTAGATTATTTTTAATTTTGGTCAGATGTTGATATACATTCCAGTATCCGGGGCAGATGATCCAAATTCAAGGTGAAGTTGTTTCTGGAGGAAAACAGAGGATGATCAATCATTGTCCATAAGTATTTCCTCATCTTCTGCATTTTTTTTTTCTCCAATGGTGCTGTCACTTAATTATAAAAGCATCAATAATCCAGTGCAAATTTTTTGAGGGCTATCTTGGTGGCTGTAGTATTGCACAGAGCAACAGCTATTCCTGATTCATGTAGGAGAGTCCTGTATGCACACTTGCAAGGTCTTTCTCCTTTTAGACCGTGTGTGCACATCTCTATGCAGTATTTAGACACCCTCTTTTGTGCTCCTTGAATGCATTATGTTGTTCAGATTAATGAGAATAGGATGGTGAAATATTTGGTGGAATAGCAGATATGTGACACTACTCTCTGGAAAATGGACTGCCTGCATCTGAGAAGTTAGGCTACTTCTTTTTATCTGTTGGTCTCTAAAAAAAAATGGTGAGGTTTTTTTTTTTTCAGAGTTGCAGGCTATCTGGCAAGCAAGTTTGGATTTCTGAATAAAGGAAAGTGTCTGTTTTGTTAGAACCCTTCCTAAGAAAGTAGGATATATGTTTCAATAAGGTTTTACTAAGGAAATGCTTCAGTTATATCACATTTCCCTTCCTAATATAAACAGCTGAGCCTTGATTTGGGCAAAAAGTGAAAAGAGTATTGTTTGCATGTACAGTGTTTCTGATGATCTTGGTAGGTTAACAAACACCTCCCAGCCATTTTCAGCCAGGTTATAATTTCCAGTTCCTTCTAGTTTAAATGTTTATGCTTTGGCAATCATTAATTATCCACTGAGCCCAAGTCATTTAAAAAGGATTGATTTTTATTGTCAGTAGTGTCAGCCCAAATTATCGTTGATGCTGAAGATTCATGATTGTTATGTGCACTACATTTTTTTCTGTTGACTCTTAATAGCACTCTCCGGCAAAAAGAAACAAGAAGGTCGCTTGTGAAAAGTATCATAATTAAATAATCATAAAATGTTTTAAATTGTTGAAACACATGTATTTATGGTTAACATTTTCAGCTTTGATACTGTACTTCTGTGTGAGCAGAATAATCTCAAGTGTAAATTCCTGTAATATTAGTAAAAATGCTCCGTTAATCTTCTGTCTCTGTCTCTTTCTTCCTCTCTTTGATAGGCACATGTGTATGTGGTGAATGTACATGTCATGATGTGGACCCAACTGGCGACTGGGGAGATATTCATGGAGATACTTGTGAGTGTGATGAAAGAAACTGCAAAGCAGTTTATGATAGATATTCTGATGACTTCTGTTCAGGTAAGCAGTATCTATAAAAGGAACCTGTGTACAGTTTTTTAACAGAAACATCCAGCTAGTCTGATCTTGCTCTTCTTTAGTACTCCAGTTCTTATTTTCCCAAATAGTATCATGCCTTATCTGTTTTTTATGGAACAAAGAATCACAGAAAGTTAAGTTTGGAAGCAATCTCTGGAGAAGGATCAAGGAGGGTTACCTGGAGTACTTTGCCCAGAAATGTGTTCAGACAGCTTTTGTGGGATGGATGGATAGATCTTTAAAAACAAACTATTGCCAGGTGACCAGTTCATTTCTAGTATAGTTGTGTTTTGTGTAAACTTGCATAAATTGAAGGATGGTTGAAAGTCTGAAATGTATCTATCCTATCTTGGACATATATTAATTTGAAAATTTGTTATCTCATATTGTATTTATTATTTCATACTAAATGGCAGAGAGAGAAGCAACAGGAAGAAATTGAAGGAAATCTATATTAACATTAATGAAACTGTGAGACTACTGATTGATCTAAGAATAAGTAGAGCATCAGTAGGTCAAATATAGGAATATGTAGTTAATTAAACACCGCTGATTGTATATGTTAGGCACTTGCATCTTCCTTTTTTCTTCTACTTCAGAGCACTATATTCAAGTTAGTTAGTTATGGTCCATCCAAGGATTGCAGGATGTTTGAATGACGCTCCACATATCTATCTACTAACAGATCTGCTAACAGTTAAGATTCTTAGGAAGATTTTGACTACAATTTTTTATAATAAAGATGATAAGGCTGGGCATGAGAGGAGGACTTTGATCAATACACAGCATGCAATTTGTGCACACAAGAACTCTGCAAAAACAAGTGAAGGTGATTTCAAAAGGATTTGATAGATTACAGGCTGTCAACACTAATGTTACAATCTTCTGCAGAAATTTGATCTAACCTAATTAATAATAGAAAGAATGCAGCCATGTCAAGAAAAAACATTGAAAAATTTCTGACAAATGGTATATTCTCCTCCTCTTGCTACCATGGTTGATCCCACATAGAAAGGTCATAGAAAATGCCTGGAATAGGGAAAAAAGATTAAATGAACATTGATACATAAAATTCTTCACCCCTTGTTCTTCACCTGATGTAGATGTGTCAGGTTTCTCATCTTTATTTGTTTGAAAAATGATGGTGAATCAACAGCTAATCAAAATAAAAAATGAAAAATAACCTTTACTGACTCATTTTCTTGCTCCCATTTCGGCCGCCTCCAAATGTTAGAGGTGCATTTCATTTTTACACTAGGAGGGTGTAGAACTGCAGTCATGAGAGCAGCAGGAGAAATTTGGGATGCTGACATTTACTGCATTGCTGAAAATGTTTTTAGCACTCTGGGACTGATCAAAGAGTCAGCATTAGTTAAGGAAGACACACCTAAAAAAGTAATGTGGTAAATGTGTTCTGCAGTTAAGGATGAAGGAGAGGGTTATATGCCTGATTAGATTAGAGTAAATTTGTGACACCTAGACCTAATCTTGCATCACTGAAATGGGTCTGGAACTACCTCTTTCCCAGATGTTATTGCTACTGCTGCTGGTTTTAAGTGGAGAACACCATGAAGAATTGCAAATGTGGAGGGGCAAAGGAGAAGGGAAAGATATTGGCATTTGATATGCAATGGGAACTGATGTTTAAGTATACTTACCTTTTCTGTCTAATCCCCAGAGCTGGATACTTCTTCTTATTCTCTTCCCTTCCCCATGACAGCCAGAACAAAAGCCTAATTTAACTTTAGTTGTCCATCCAAGTTTATATTTCTGTAACAGGTTGTGCAAAGCTTTCCACATTTTTGCCTGGACCACTGTGAACAACATCTTATAGTACTGTGGTTTAGTCCTGTCCAAAAATGGGCAAGATGCATCCTTGTTCATCTCAGTTTATTGTGCTAGATGGGCAGAATTTAGAATCGAATGAAGGACTGGATAGCCAGATTTTAGTTGGACAGACTATTTACTGCTCTCTGTGAAATAAACACACATATCTTGCAAAGCGTATGCAGGTTTTAGGTGTATCTGCAAAACATCCTTATCTTTTTCAGGTTTTGACTATTATTTGTAAATTAATTTTACGATAACTCCAGAAAGGATTATTCAAATCAGGGAAAACCGCACAACTCTTTTTAGAGCTACATTAAACTGAGCTGTTGCAAAAAAAAGTTTTCCTTTCTCTTTCTGCCTGCTTAACAGGTAGAGACAGAAAACCCCATTGCCTGAATTATTGTATTGAAATGATGGCAACATGTTTACAGATCAGAATTTTACTGTAATTGAATAAAATACTATGATTATTTCATAAACTTCAAGCGATAAGAATTGGCAACCCTGCTGTGAGGACTTAATATCACACAGTGGCAGCTCCCTCTTAAAACTTCAAATGGCTTAGGGGTGACAGTCAATTTGCAGTACCTCATACTGGTGACTGGATGCCTTCTTTTAAGAACTGAAGTACTGTTCAGTATCTAAATGAATGATTTGCTTCCAGAAATGTTCAGTTCACAGTATTAAAAGACTTCTCTTCCTTTAAAGAGAATAATCTTAATGCCTTGACAAAAAAAGAAAAAAAAAAAAAAGATGACTTCTATAGGGAAATTCCTTCACATAATAGGACAAGTGTTTTTGTCTCATTAGCTCATCTGCTCAAATGAGCTCATTAGATCATTTGCTGTGGCTCTAGCAAATGAGATGGATATTATATAAAAGAACATCATCTCACAGGTATCTATGTGGGCAGAAAAAGTATGTCCTGTTCTCAAGCTGTCAGCAGGTACACAGGAGATCCAGGGACAGAAGAGGAGACCTTTAACACTTTTCAAGGAAAACAGATAACTAATGTAAAGAACAGTCATTCTCATGCACTAAATGAGGTGGGTAGTCCAGGAACTACTCTGATAGTTTCTATACTGCTTGCTTCCTCCCATTTTCTTCCTGTGAATTAAGTGCATGTGTTTTAGTCATATATTATGAGCCAGTATTAAAACACAAATATAATTAGAGAGAGCTACAAATTGTGTGCTGCTTTGATTTTCAAGAAGAAATGGGGCAGGCAGCAGCACAACAGAGCAATGCTTTGGGGTCCAGTGTCCAATGAAAAACTATGTGAAGCTTGGAAGGAAACATTTCTTGGAAAATGGCTCAAATGGAGTGTTAGTCATTGTCAGGCGACAAATAGCTATAGTGAGTTGATTATATTATTTTGCCAATCTAACAATTTAATGAAACCATAAATTAGATAAAGTTCATATTACAATGAGGTTTTAATACCTATCAGCAGTTTGATGGCCTATCTTTAATTGTATTCATTTTAAAGGTCATGGACAATGTAATTGCGGAAGGTGTGACTGTAAAGAAGGATGGACCGGGAAGAAGTGTGAACATCCACGTTCCTGTCCTTTGTCAGTTGAGGAAAGTGCTAAGAAATGCCAAGGAAATTCTAATTTACTTTGCTCTGGAAGAGGTAAGTACATTTCTGCAAGAATTTTCCTGCTCTGAAAACATGCTTAACTGAATTTTTAAAGATGGCCAATGTCAATAGTTCTCACAAATGCGAAATTTTTGGCTCACTGTGTATGACTCACTCATCCATAAATTGAGAGTTATCAGAAGGGAAGAGAAGAACACAAGAAATACCTATTTTTTCCTGTCATCAACTGCATCATATTTTATCTCAATGTTTGTTTGGGTATTCTAAGGAAACTGAAGAGCACTGCTACTAAGTCTTTGCCAAAGATATATTTAAAATATTTCAGTCATTGTAATATGAAGATTTGACAAATGAGATGTAAATCAAATGTAAAATGTGTATGAAAAATATTGTCGCCACACAGTAATGGAGCTGTTCAGATATACACTGCCCGAGAACCTGCCCTGTTGAGTGTAGTGGTAACTTATAAAATGCAGTTGTTTTTCAGAGTGATTTTCTAGTGAGCCGCTGTCTTTTCACTTCATAACATTTTATTTGGGATTCAAAAGCTTTGACTAAAATGGATACAAACTCATGCATACAACTGAAATGCATAAAAGGGAACCAAAGGAAACATTCCTCTGAAAGAAAAGGACCTGATAATTTTGGTCTGTCACCATGCAAAATGTGTTTTTTACAGCAAAAAGAGAGAAAGGTAAATATGACACAGAATTTCATTAGAATTTGGTAACTGAAGCTGTTAAGAATTTTGCCTATTCAGTATTTGCTGGGAAAGATCTGAAGCTGCTCTTAAAGTATTGCATTTGACCCTGATTGTTATTTCATTTGCAATTTTCTCTTTCTCTAATACTATCTACCATAGTCAGAATTTTAGGTTGTTCACTGAAGTTAGTGCTGTGATAATTATATTTTTTCCCCTATAAATGTGTAGCAACTCCTAAGTTTGCTAACGTAATATTAGCTGTATCTTAAAAGGACTATGTATTAAGGGATTGTTGTTCTTGCCTTTCTAAATCAGCTTACCATTTTTCAGTGAATTATGTCTATTGATTCTTGCTAAATATTCTCAGAGGTATTTGTGGTTGCAAGCTAAGTGAAACATGGGCATCTG